TGCGTATAATTTCGTTGGCAAAAACACGCTGATGTGCAAATATTCGACATTAAACAACTACCACGGCGTAGCAGCTAGAATGTAAAGTAGGATCCATGTTGATTTTCAGCTTTTGCGTCGAGGGATCGCGTGTTTGCACGGTCCCAAACACGCATCCACACGATACGTTCATGTGACACTAGCCCGAAGCGATTTACATTGTCCATATGGAATGGTAGAGTAAACATCCTGCACATGTAGTCCAATTTTCCGGTGACATTTACTTCAATTTTCGCCTTAAAGGATTATATATTTGATTAGGTTTCCGAAAGGTTGAGGAAATTTTTTTAAAACCATTGCAGATTCTTCGAGGCATTTTCCCTAAATATTTCACACACGTATTTCTAAAATGACATAAGTCAGAAGTTAATGTCTGGAAAAATTGAAAAAATTATTAAATGTGCTTAACGAAAAAATAATTGCATAACCAATTATTTTTGCAACATTTATACATGGTAAAAAAACGTGATTCAATATTATTATTACACACTATTTTGTTGCATACTCAATTGTTTATATGTCACTCTTGCCGAATCAGTGGAAGGCAGTTCCAAAATAAGAACAGTGACACTAGTGCCTTATAGAGAATGAGAAGCTCATTTGGTACACTTTTGGTGTTTGATAGAGGACTGCTTATCCAATTCTTGAATAGTGATAACTCAAAGATACAGATTTTTTACTTGTGTTATTTTAAAAATACGTGTGCGATTTAATCTTCAGTTTCATAAGAATAAATGAAAATATTTCGAAAAATGACGCTTATTCAAAATCGTTTTGTTCTCACGATTCAATAAATTTTATTGAATAAATTATCACAATCAGAGAACAGTTATCGAAAATTGAATACGTTTAAAGGTTAATATAACAATGAATATGAACAAGGCTCTCAACCATCACGGACGCGTAATCCTTTAGAAAGGTATTAAAGGGCAACTAGTTTAATCTAGCATAATCTGCACACTTTCGATTTATTAATGACTTTATTTAATCAAGTAATCCGTGATAGAATCAGTTCACGCCAGATGAAACAGCGCTCTCGCTACAGCCAGAACAGACTTCACTTCCGCAAATTACCCCCGTGCGTCGCGTTTCGTCGCAAATCCATCCCGATAATGGCGTCGATTGTTCCCATTTAAACAGCAATCTGCATTAAGTTCTGCCGGGAAGGGTGCGCGTTTCGATGCGCTGATTATGCCGTTTAACGCAGCGGCACCGTGAAATTACGAGGAAAAACGTTTCCAACCTCGTCTTACTTACAGGTTCATAGGTACCTATCGCGTGATGCGATGGCTGTATTCTCCTTGCACCCTAACCGTGAACGGATTCCCTCGAACGAACGCATTTAAACCGGTGCCGTATCGACGTACGCTGCAAATGAATACGGAACGTTATCCACGTCCTTGCGTGCCTGTCTCTGCGTATGGGTTTATGGAAGCGTGGTCAGGTTGCGCGGTTTCCCGGAAGCGGAACTCTCTCGAATTTCAACCGCTGATTCTTTCATTTGATTCAAGCAGACATGCTGCAGTCTTTACCAACTAGTTTTAGCGTCATGGATTGCGCGCTGGTATCTCTTCCTCTTACTCTTCTCTTACTATCTCCCCGAGAGGTTGTCGGTTGCATAAGGGCGTGGACTTCGCGTTACGTTAGTTTAGGAGCCTTTACCGGAAGAGGGTTGCACACGACCGATGCGGAGTCGTGACTTGTGCTCTCTCGCTACTTGAAGAACCTAATGCAAGGGGTGGTTATGGTCTCCGACTCGGCTGCGACGGGTACGTGCATGAATATTTTACAAAAATGCACGCTTCACAGAACCTAGTCATCCCCTATTCACGGTTGCTGGAATTTGTCGTGGCGCACAGTGGATGGTTAAGTACACGCCGCCACTGAATCCTCTGCTTGTTACAGAGCAGCTATTGTCTGTCCTTTTTGAGCGTTACGCTTGTGCCGCGTCCGTTCGATGTTATGCGTCATTCCTCTGCTCTAAATACACACAGTCTACGGGACGTTTCGGAAGGAGGACTTTCAGTTTTACTTCGAGTACTCGTGTGCATAATACGTATATACGTGTATCACGAGAAACTTGGAAATGGAGATCGATAAACATCAGTCGAGAACGCGGGGAAACTATTATTTTCCGTAATTGTCGATAAAGTTCTTGGGTCGAACGCCGACACTGGAATTTACCGAACGAACAAACTAATAACGTAAGACGTTAAGCATTGTTTGTAAGAAGGAAAACTTTTATTTCGGAGTGAAATGTACAGTCGAGGCGCGACTGAAATTTCTTCCCCGCGACCACCTGAGGAGAGGGGAGAATTCGCGATCGTTGATTATACGATTTGAACGGCTCGGTCAAACTCTCGTCGTTAATCATGAATTCCCTTTATCTCGAGAGAGAATTGAACAACCGTGAACCGTTGCGTTTTCCACGAGCCGAGCGATTGTCGAACGGCCAAGAGATTTATTCTCACGCGCTCCTTCGATACGTCACACGACTTAATCGTAAATTGTTCCCAACCGCAAAGTCTTTCAACGCCAGTCAGACAGGACATTTATTTTCCCTCCGGCTCTCTCCTAGGTCATGATTTATGATCACGGATCGGTTTCGTTCGATTTCCTTGATCGCGACGACGCATTAACGAACTCTTTCTACCGCCGTTCCCCATATCTCGCTGATCGATTAGCGCCGTGAGAAAATTAGATTGCCAAGATCACTGAAACGAAATTACTCTGCACTTCGGATAACGGGACTCGGTGTTAGTGCATCAATGTGTACTCCTTTTCCATGTTTGCACAGAGTAGAAACTAATATAGGAGGCATCAATATTGGAAACCACTGTTTAAAATGTAATCATAAATATATCACGTTAAATTAAACGTTATGTATTTAATAATTCATCCAGATATCTGAAAACGATTTCGTTGATTGCGGCATGAGTAATTCAGAAGTTAAACTCATCGTTCCGTTTCGACGAAGATTTTTCGCTCGTAGTTGTCTCAGCTCGGGCATGTATCGCGTGATAAATCGTCGGACGTGCATTTCGCCGCTCGTGCGAGGGGCAGCGTTACGTATCTGGTCGAGGAAACTCGTCACGAACACCGTTGTCCGCAGGCGTGTACCTCGCGGCGAAGTCGGTTCTACTCGCGCGCTTCAACAAACTTTCGAGGACGTAGCCGTGGAACACTTGAAAAATAAGGTGTTTGCGCGAGGCGCATGAAATTCGATGGGAGCAGGAAACAATAGGGGAAGTCTACAGTAGAAGCGGTAACGAGCTTCTGGAACGAGCGTCCAACTTGGTGCAAGTCCATTTGCAAAAATTTTATTGCCCCGCGCGTCGACTTCCTTCCCCCTATCTCCTCCGTCGCGCATTTTTAACGTTTATTAAATCCTCTTTCTTTATTTTCCACGCCTTTATTCCCGCGGACAATGGCACACACGCTCGATTCCCGAACCGCGAAAAAATTCTGTCCCGCTCTCTCTCTCCTTTGAAAGTCGTTTAACCTAACCCTCTATTCTTTACAAATGACTCTCTCCACGTGTTCCGTGCGCGAATGTTCGTTACATTAAATCAGAATTTGCGATTCAGACTGTAAAACGGCGTGGAAATAAAACCAGAGAGAAGCAAGCTAAGCCGTAAGTTAAAAGGTAGCCGAATGCTTACGTTGCTAAATTCGATTCGAGATCCCGGATAGCGCGGGAAGCCGATCATTCGCCTTCGTACGTACCTTCTTTCCGCGGCTCTGTCGGGAAGAAGAACGTAAGGAAAATAAAGCAGCGGCAGCAACGACCGTTTCTCCGTTAAATGAGATTTTGATACAGCGATCGAATCGCTGCGGCTTGGCGCTGTGACGCTTCGATAAAGGAGGGTGTGGTTGCTGGCGAGCGGGTGGTGGGGGTTTGATTTATCGGAAATTAATATGCTACGCTGTGCCGAGACCAAGCGAAAACACACCGCGTTGCTGGGATGGAACGAGGTTGAAAAAAAAAAGGAAGGAAAGAACGCCGCAGCTCAGGGACGAAAATTTAAAATAGATTTGTGCCCGTGCCTGACTGCCGGCTTACGGGTGTCGTTCGTTCGCTTATCAGGCCTAAGAAACCACGTAACTAACCGCGGATAGGACTGGTTGAAGCGTATTAATGCTACTCGAGAATCAGGCTATCCAGGAAGAGAACTAGCTCCGGACTCGAGGGACGGAAGGACTTCTGAACTGCGGAGATAGAGCTCTCTCGAAGAACCGCCATGCCACATCTCTGAACGAATTCGGGAAATGAAGCGCGGGTTGCCCGGAGGAGTGATCTTGACTTATGGTTTCGGCTTAACCCCACGGGAATACTAAGACAGCACGATCTTAACGATGATAATCGTGCCTTTGTTGCCCTGTGATATTGTTACAATGAAACACAGATAACATCACATGATATACACGTAGAGGAGACACGTTTTTTGTTGAAGATGTTAACTTATAAGTTCCATCATTTTATACTTCATTACTTTCCTCAGGAGTTTAGAAAAATAACGAAAGTGTGAGAATACAAATATTCCTTTAATTATAATTCACTGTGTAATTGAATCGTTAGCAGTTGCAGTGCTAATGGAACTGTGGGTGGGTTTTATAGGAAAATTTGAACGCCGGGAATTTGTGAGTTGTATACAACTAAATACAGGAAGTAACGTAATGCATAAACAATGTACCATTTATTCGTGTTGAGGCCTGTAACTCAGCCATTGAACTAATAACGCGCGCGTCGAAAAGTTTTGCAGAATTTAGCATCGCTCGTGTAAAGCTCGTGATGGCAACTCGTGAAACACGCTTCACGTTGTTATATATTTTCTAGCCTGCATTTGAATATACCGGAACACGATCCAATTATTTAGCACCGATAGTACAGTGCACATATTTATTTTCTTTCGTTGAAATCCGGTAACAAGGGATGTAAATAGCATTGTTATTTGTTTCAGGATTTCCATGGAATAGTAGCGAAAAAAATGATCAGTATGAAGTTTTTTCGTGTGTTTCTGGCACTCCTTGGAAGTACGCACGTCCTCTGCGCGCAGCCGTCCGCATTGCCGATAATCAAAAGTACCGGTGAGTTTTTCTATCAAATATGCACGCTTCTATTAAATATTCATCCTAGCGAGTGTTTTATATTTTGCGGAAAATCGCAAGCTGTTTTCATTAGGTTTATTATAATCCTATAAGAGGAAGATGGTAAAGATAAACAGGGCTTAATGAAATTTAAATATGGTAGTTTTAATATAGTCCAATAAAACAGTTGTATAAAATAACTGGAATAGAATGATTGCGTATGCAATTTTTATCCGTAATATAAAAGTTAAATGCCGATACGAGAACGTGAGAATTAATGAAAAAAGTTTCGCCTAGATTTTAAGATTATTCCGTGCGTAGAGTAGGCTTGTCGAGAACGAAACGGCCCGTGAAGTAAAATACTTAGCAATTATAGCACTCGCCTGAGTTTCTATTCCCACGGGAAACCGGGTCAAACGTATCCACTCTTCGAGCCGTTAAAAACCCCGAAGACGTTATACCGCAAGACAAGCGAAATAATCGAAATCAAGATCATCAACTCTTTAATGAAACTTCCACTCTCGCACTGTCAGAGATATGTAGGTCAAAGTATAACAAGAAATCGTTGCCGTCTCCACGACTCTTCGAAACTTTTCCACTCGAGATGCTTTCGTAAAAACGAGTGGATTAGATGCAGATTTCCACTCTGTATCCAGTGTTAACGAGTCCCTTGGTATTGGTTCGGTTGACAATAATGTAACATGCATTGGTAATGTTCGCGACACTGGCTTGATGTTTCCAGTTTTGCACAAAAATCGATAATAGTGGATTAATTTTTTCTAAGGATTTTTCATGCATTTCTGTATAGATATAAGTAATTTCTTGCTCAGAGTTTTCAAGTTTATTGCTGACCTCAAAAGGAACCATTCTAGTCCCTAACGATAAGAACAATGAAAATTTTCAAAATTGTATGTGCTTACTGAATACATACTCGTTTATCTTCTACCCTAAAGAGGATCACTAAGTTTTTAGAAATGTTAATCAAGCTCGAAACCAATATGTGTTTAAACTGGAAAAGATCGGATGTTATCCAGTAGCAGATCTTGAAATCGGAACTTTATGTTAACTTAATGTGGCACTTGGGAGCAAACCTGGAAGGTTCGTATCGTTCAAATAGGCGCGGTTGAACAGCGACGAAAGCGACTGCAGCTACCGGCTTTCTATGTAATTAACGACTATCCATCCAACTTGTAATTATGAAGACGGGGTAGGTGCGGTAATGAAATCTCTACAGGCAGCAGCAGCATCGCGTGGAAACGACTGCGGCATGCGAATGAATCCGTCAAGAAGACTGACGACCGATGTACGCATTGTAACGACGTGATTATACAAGTTCGTTTCACATCTGTCATCCGACTCGACAGTTCATATCCCCTCGCGTCGACGTCTATCATTTTGTTAGATTTGCTGTTCCCCGGTTTTTAGACTCGCTTTCTCAACCCGGTTCGCGAATCGACGAAACGATTTTCCTCAAGAGTGTATCAAAAGCGAATAACTTTTACACGAAATTGATTGCGAGTTCGTTATCATAGTCGTGCGCAGCAGCGGAATAGTGAAATGGCAAATTCTAGTACATCATTATTCAATTTTCAGTTTCATCATTATTGTGCAAATTAATATTTAATATAATTGCAGTTGATAATAATGAAAATTTCGCGTACTTAATATTTCTCGTAATTCTATTTCATTGGATTAATTTTTTCTAAGGATTTTTCATGCATTTCTGTATAGATATAAGTAATTTCTTGCTCAGAGTTTTCAAGTTTATTGCTGACCTCAAAAGGAACCATTCTAGTCCCTAACGATAAGAACAATGAAAATTTTCAAAATTGTATGTGCTTACTGAATACATACTCGTTTATCTTCTACCCTAAAGAGGATCACTAAGTTTTTAGAAATGTTAATCAAGCTCGAAACCAATATGTGTTTAAACTGGAAAAGATCGGATGTTATCCAGTAGCAGATCTTGAAATCGGAACTTTATGTTAACTTAATGTGGCACTTGGGAGCAAACCTGGAAGGTTCGTATCGTTCAAATAGGCGCGGTTGAACAGCGACGAAAGCGACTGCAGCTACCGGCTTTCTATGTAATTAACGACTATCCATCCAACTTGTAATTATGAAGACGGGGTAGGTGCGGTAATGAAATCTCTACAGGCAGCAGCAGCATCGCGTGGAAACGACTGCGGCATGCGAATGAATCCGTCAAGAAGACTGACGACCGATGTACGCATTGTAACGACGTGATTATACAAGTTCGTTTCACATCTGTCATCCGACTCGACAGTTCATATCCCCTCGCGTCGACGTCTATCATTTTGTTAGATTTGCTGTTCCCCGGTTTTTAGACTCGCTTTCTCAACCCGGTTCGCGAATCGACGAAACGATTTTCCTCAAGAGTGTATCAAAAGCGAATAACTTTTACACGAAATTGATTGCGAGTTCGTTATCATAGTCGTGCGCAGCAGCGGAATAGTGAAATGGCAAATTCTAGTACATCATTATTCAATTTTCAGTTTCATCATTATTGTGCAAATTAATATTTAATATAATTGCAGTTGATAATAATGAAAATTTCGCGTACTTAATATTTCTCGTAATTCTATTTCATACCTACACGCTTTAATTTTGTTATTGAACAGGTCAATTTTCAACTCAAAATCCCGAATCGTTTCTGATAGTAATTCTTGATCGCATGAAAATCACGCGATTGGAAATTTTTTTTTATATCTCTGTGCGCGAAGCAATGTTATTGCGTCGTAAAGTAACGATAATTTATTGAGTAATATTGCGTTCTAGTCCAGGTTCACGTTATAACCGTAACGTGAAACAAGATGAAAGAAGGAAAGAGAATGAAAGGCAAGCCGCTGGCCGCCGGAATAGAAAGGGGCACGCGATAAATTCGATTCCTATATTCGTCATCGCGTTTAATGGACGGAATTCCACGGCATGTTTCGAGTTTCCGTCCCATTGAAAACCGATATCGATGCATGGTCGAAACGGACAAGTCTACTGGCTCTGTACTCCTGTATCGCGCGCCAACATCGACTTTCTGTTAAGGTTCTCTTATGTCCTCCAGTTGTTCGAGTACCACTTGCACCTTGATTACATTCTGCAAGAAAAAAAGAAGGAACAAAAAAACCAATATCGTGTACATTCATCGTTCCTCTCGCAGTTTCTTTAGGTCAGGGATAAGCAAGCATATCTGCAAGGCAAACTGGTTGTTTAATTGTACGCACGTTTCTATTTTTCTTCGTTATCGTGAAAACAAATCGTGTTCATTAAAAACATTGCTTTCAGTTGTAAAATGAAAAATGTATTCACCAGAAACTCTAATGAATATCATATTTTACGGTTGTTCCATTGTAATATTCTTTTTATTATTATATTGTTTTGAAATGTTTAAAAATATTCAGGATTAAATAACTTTTCTTTATCATTCTTTTATAATTGCACTCATTACATCATTTAATTATAAGGTCGTTTTCTCTTTCTTATCAATACAATCTTACATTTAAACAACAAATTCTATATTATTCCTACGAGACAGTCAAATCGAAAAGTACACATTGGCAACACAGGTCATTAAATCATAGAATTAAGTGCAGCAATTTTTTAATTCTCACGTGATAATAAACGTTCTTTAACATAAGTATAATGATAACATATTACTAAAACCATTAAATTACATAGAGAAATATAATATATTCGGTATAATATATACATATATCCGGTTTATAGCTATCCACATAGATTTGTATTCATTCATTCGAGAACACAATTATAATCAATCACCGTGCACTCTCATAAAATACAATATACGTCTAATTTTCATTACTTAACTCAGTCTTAACTCGGAGAAATATAACTTCAGTTTTAAGGAATGATCGTTGGCTCGTTTCTCCTGGGAGGCTCGGTTTCCTCTTCACGGTGAATACGGCTGATTCCTTTATCGGCCGTTCCTTAGTTCTGAGAGAAAGAAATCCTCCGAAGGAATAAGTTGTCCTCCATAAGTGTATACGTATGATATATTCGTCACTCCTCCCCCTCCCCCTGTTCGCAATATTTGAGCAACGCAAGTCATTCATGGCGGTATAGTTCCGGTATAATTTCGCGCGTATCTCAATAAGCATAATAATAGTATAATTCATAAATGGAAATAATATATTCAGTATTAGAATAGAAATAAAAATATAATTTATGTGTGAAACACGTACGTACATCGTGTCAGGGTACTACCGCTGCAGATCGGTCCTCCCTCGTTATGAGAATAAAATCGACTTGAATGCAGGTCACGAGGATGTTTCCATCAAACGGGGGAAGATCGTTGGACGGTCGTTTAATCAGCGAATCGACGTTCGATTTATCAAAGCATTCGACGACAGACCTATCGGATATCATGCTACGACACTCTTCCCTCTTCTTGTTTGTTTCCTGGCCCCGATTCCATCGAATTCGTTTCGTATCCTTATTCTTGTCCGGATTATACGCGATGGCGTGTATAATGCGGTTCACGAGGCGGCGACCCCGATATCATTCGGCGCAACAGAACAGGGCTCCCTTTCCAGCACCAATCCCGGGACACGGTAAAAACTAAGATTACTATGCAATGCAATCAGCGGCGTACCGGGGTTCTTTCAGATTAAAACACAGTGCGGGATTACCGGTCGAAACTATTGTTTTGCCAAGAGCCAAGCCAGATTGTATGACCGCGCGCGCGATCTGTGAGTCGTACCGGCGAGGGCAAAAAGTATAGTGACTGTTCGGAGTAGGACGCGACACGGCTGTTTGAAGGCAGCCGGCTCGAAAGAAAATTCCACGGTCAGCCCGTGAACTGCATGTCATTAGCGATGGCATTCATTGGCCCCCACCGGCTTATTTGCAAACGCGACCACGTTCCGATCGTACCGTGAATTTCATATATATATAGCGTCCGCGAAGCATTTTTGCGGGAGACACGAAATCGTGAGAGGATATGCTCGGTACCACTTGTTGGAGTG